ATTATTCTTCGAAAAATTAATTATGTTGAAGTGCACTTATCAATTGATTTTAAATATATCTACAGGAAATGACGTAATCCATCAATTAACGAAAGGAAAGGACTCATCCCTATATGTTTCCATCACACTGGTGAATGGTACCAGACTGTATGAATTGTACGATAAATTCTCAGTTTCCAGTGAAACGAAGATGTATCAACTCCTTCTGGGGAATGCTACGGGGACCTTGGGTACGGGATAGCGAGAACAATTGGAACAAACAAGAAAAAGAGACAATATTGCACAAGGGAATGTAAATAAACATTGATTTCACCTGATTTCACCTCTGATGTTTTAAAGGTCCGTGTTTGCTCCGATTTTGTATTGTTTGTATGAACTTTTGAGCTTGATTACTGCTTTTCATCTTAATATTTCATACATTAACATTTGTGTTTGTTGTATATGCGAGGGGATAAACCCTGCTTTTTTTCAAACACCTCTCGACTTCGACCAAACCAAACTTCCTTTCCTTGCTGGATTGCTATGTGTTTTGGTACTGATACATGTATGTATACAGAGAATAGATTTACATTTATACCGCATTCTCAAAGTTGTGCATTTTGAGTAAGAATATATAGCAAATTTTAATACTCTTGTTACACCTACTGATGGCGGTATTATCACTTGGATTGATGACAGTGATCTTTAAGGGATAAAGGATAGTATTATTGTTAACAAGAAAGAAAGGATCTGAATTATGTGGCCATGTTATTTTAAATTTACTTTATAGGAGACGGGATGTTAGACACGAGGAATCCTAGAACTGATCTGTCGAGGGCGTACTTTAGTACCCCTGACAAAGACAACGACGGGTGGAGTACTGGAAGCTGTGCTGTTACTTGGGGAGGGGGCTGGTGGATTAACGACTGTTATTACACCTATCTAAACGGCCCCTGGTCTCCGGAAAACTGGGTCAATCCTTGGTTTCGCACAGTTACATCCGGGACTTTAGTGAGGGAGACAATGATGTTGATTAAACGTCACTAGGTACAGCGTTCATTCTTATAGATACTTTTTATGTTTTGTATTTCATGATGATTTTTAGACATATTTGATTTATTTTATATATTAAAGAAACCGGGGTTTTGATGGTTTTGATATTTTTAAGTGGGGGGTGGGGTGGGGCTAAGCCCCCCCCCCCCACCCATGGTTCGCTACGCCTCTGAAAAGGACGTTTGATTTCTACTCGTCAGGATGAAATATGCAGAATTATTTACAATTCGTATGGCCCAATATAGTAAACATAGGAATATTGATGAACTGTTCATAAGATAAAACTCTGAGATTTTAATAAAATGCAGTGAAATTGATTGGTGTTTCACAAGGTGGACCCATTGTCTGCTCCTGAGGGGTATCATAAGGATGGTCTACGGGCATAAGCATGCTCTTTACGTACCTTAATTTTAAGACAGGTAAGTAAATACAACCGAAACACTCTGAATGTCATTGTATGTCATATTTTATTAACAATGTTTCAAGAGTGTAGGATTCTTATATGCTAAGGCATAAGGTTGATACGTCGCCTCTTTTTAAACACGAAGTAACGAACTAACCCTCCGTAACTACATGTTGTAGGCGCCATTTTGTTTCCAACAAACCCTTGAAAATCATAGAACAAAATCGGTCGTTTTGATAGAAACAGATTTTTATGAAATCTATTTTTTAAAAGTTGATAAACATAAAAAAAAAATATTGGAATAATTTTATAAAAATAAACTTTTCAGTCGGCGCGTTGTAATTGGGTCGGTCGCGTTAGGGGAAACAAAGGTATTTTTTACTTTGGCCTCATCAGACGTTTTTATTGAGGGGGCTCAAGCATATAGGCCTAGTATCTATGTTTTCTATAGTAATCTATATATCGGCAAAATTATTGGGGGGGGGGGCACCCCCCCCCCTTCCCCGGTTCCTACGGCCATGGTGTATAAGAGTCTGGCGCAGGTGATTAATGAGGATTAATCTGAGATTTTTTGTGGAAATCTGTAAGAAGAGGTTGTTCTCTAACTGAATTTTGCTTGGAAAAAATGTGTGATGGCTTTGTTTTAATACAGATTACGATATTGTGTGGAAAATAACCTCAAATTTTTAGGGAAGTTGAATTTCTCTCGAAATATTTGGTACCCAAGTAAAACTATGACTTTCCCCAAGCTCATTTCGGGTACACAAGGATACGATGAGTTATTTATATAACAAAATGTTAATAATTATTGTGTTAAACAGCTGCGCGTAGCGATTTATGTGAAACACTTAAAAAAATTATAAATAACCGTCACGTGATCAACAAAGCCATGTGATATCATAATAAATATGGTAATATATAGCCTAGGAAACCCTCTATATAAATTTTAAGTACTGAAGTACAATATTTATTAATTAAAACTAAAACCGACCTCGCAATGAAATATGTTTTTAGCGCAATTTAAAGCTTCGGGAAGTCTTAACATAGCTGCATTTCTCAAATGCAAGTCAAAATCCAGGCCAAAAGATAAAAAATGTTGGCACCCAAAGAAAGATCTTGTCTCGAGGAATATACCTGTGAAAATTGAATGCCCTAGCTGCAACTGTTCAAAAAATTTGGCGAAGGTTAAAGTTTTTAAAAAGTAAGTAAAACGTCAAGGTCAAGGTCAAAGTTGTTGGTCTTGTCACAAGGATTACATACATGTATGTGAAGTATAAAAGCCCTAGCTCCAACCGTTCAAAAGTTATGGCCTAGGTAAAAGGTTTTCAAAAGTAGATTAAACTCCTCGGTCAAGGTCAAAGAGATTGACATCCAGAGGAATGTCTCGTCACAAGAAATACATATGTGAAGTTTGAAACCCCATACACCAACTGTTCAAAAGTTATGGCCAAGGTTAAAGTCTCATCAAATTTTGCAAAAGTGGGTCAAACTCCAAGGTCAAGGTCAAATATGATGGTACCCAAAGAATGTTCTTGTCACAATGAATACACAGGTGAAATATAAAAGTCATAGCTCCAACCAATCAAAAATTATGGGCAAGGTTAAAGTTGACAACAGACAGACAGACAAAGAAACAGACGGATAGGACGAAAACAATATACCCCCGGGATCTTTCGATCCAGGGGCATAAAAATTGGTTCCTATATAAATCTATACTAAAAATGTTTAAACATTTCCAGTGTTTTACTGAGCGTTCAATAAAAGGATAGAATGATTGTATGTTGTTTTACGTCCCGTTCGAGAATTTTTCACTCACATAGAGACGTCACCATATACCGGTGAAAGGCTTCAAATTTTGACCTTTACTCGACACTCAGGGCCATTGAGCAGTGAGGGATCTTTATCGTGCCAATGTCTGCCGTGACACGGGACCTCGATTTTTAAGGTCTCAGCCGAAGGACCCGCAAATTTCACTTCAAAGTGCCGAGTGCATGGCAAAGAAACAGTTGCTACCCATTTTTTATCGACTAAGGTCAGTCACGGCCGATATTCGAACTCACGATCTCCCGATCACGGAGCGAGCGCTCTACCGACTGAGCTACCGTCAACGGTACCCGGTCATTAATAAATCAATCTTTGATTGAGATATTGAGTGAGATATTGGAACTGTCCACCGCTCACATCACACTATGGGAAGGATCAAATTGTTGTACTCAGGTGACCGTTAAAGCCCTTGGGCCTCTTGTTTGTTGTAGCATAGTTACGTCATGGTAATTTGGTAATGTATTGATAAAATTTGGTTTGAAAGAAATTTTTTTTTTTCAGGTAAGTTGTCAATTTTTTTTTCTGGCTCCCCTCTTCCACTTTCAAACTGATACTACGTGCTGTCTTGCAAAACATTACCTCTCCTGCAGTTTTGAATTGACTTCAATTAGACAATTAGCACACAAGTAGACAAAAGTAAGATACATCTTTATTATACGTTCACGTCGGTAGAGCAACAGGGACCTGTGGATAAGTAAATGGTATGATTTATGGCCCTTATAATAAATGTCATTGAAACACTATCCCTATACTAGCTTGCTATCTTTGTAAAAGATTTTGTTAAGTTCTTGTATGTTCTTTTTTGCTCGTTTGGTTTTTTCTTTTGTTGGTTTTTTTTGGGTTTTTTTTTTTATTTGTTAGGGGGAGTAACGATAAAAAGTTATAAATAATTCAAAGCATAACGTGATTTTACAAAGTACTCGTAAACTTGGCGTGCTGATAAAATCTCGGCTTGCTTCTGCATCAAGTTAGTTATGTACAGGGTGTGATTCTTAAAATTTTGTTTGCACTTCTCTTGCATTTACTGAATTCTTATGCCAAAGTTTCACGGTTACTCATTTTCATTCAGTGTAAAGAAAGGCATTAAATGAGTTTGTTGTACTGAAATTTCTCTGTAGAGAACTCATGTACATAGTGTTTATGATTTTTACTCATATTGCTGTTCCTTGTTAAACAGATTGTGAATATTTTAAAATTCATGATTTCTTCTTGAAATTTATTGTCTGTGTTATACTCATGTGACCATTAAGGCCCTTGGGCCTCTTGTTCCGTTTAGTTGCTTTTAAACTTGCATCCGGAGTTGAAGAGGGTGGTGCTAGATGCCCTTGTTCAATGCAGTGCGCTAGTTTACACACAAGGTATCCATTTTTTTCGATACCGAAATTTTAGGCTACTGCATCATCCACAAGACGCTGAAAACAGTATGTATTGGTTAGTGGAAACTCCTTCTTGTACCTCGTATGCATTTTCTGAATTCAACGACACCGAAAATTATTTTCACTAACTTTCAGAATGCACTCTTGTAACATTTCATAAATGGCAATGAAAACAGTCTATCTGACCTTGATTTATTACATCGCTGATGGATAGGAAGGAATAAGATCATGAATTGTCCTTAATGTATTTGTGTATAGGATGACTAAATACGAAATGTATTGTTCTTGGCAATATTGACCATTTTCTGTAATCTATAACAAATACAAAGTTTACACACCTTTGGAATGCAGCAAAGTTGCTTAAATGTTATTCAATACTATGATTTAATAAAAGCTGCAATTAGAACTTTTCTGCCGAAAGAATAAAGTTTAACCTGATAACTGTTTTACATAAGAAGACCTTTCTTTTTTTAATTCAGAGCAATTAACATTTTATGAACTACAAATAAAACATTTCGTAAAACTGACATTTGTTTTAGACTGTGACACACAAAAAAAATGCACGCTCGTTAGTATACATTGGAAATAACTAAATGTTTCCGAAAACACTGAAAGTATACACTTTTGTCAAAACTGTAGTCCTGGCGTCTGGGTTAAATGATAATTGATTAGTTTTTCACATTATCTAGCACATCTACACGTGCATCTCAATCCATTCCAACAGCAGCAGTCTATCGGTCCACCCGCGAATCCAAGTTGAGGCCCTGTCAATGAAATAGATAGTTTTCATACGACGTATTTTCTCTCCGAGTTATTTCCCTTGGCCGCCATCTTGGTTTGTTTATTGTTTAACGTCTCTCTCGAGAATTTTTCACTCATATGGAGACGCCACCACTTGCCGGTGGAGAGCTGCAAATTTAGTCCTATAGTCGGCACTTGCGGCCATTGAGCAGTGAGGGATCGATCTTTTTCGTGCCAGCACCTACTGCGACACGGGACCTCGATTTATACGGTCTCATCTGAAGGACCGGTCTCCACGTCCCAAAGTGGGATTCGAACCCGCGACGTAAGCCGCCATCTTGTAATTTTTTCCTCTTTGTCTTACCAAATCTAAGACGGTGTAGTAGAAATATTTGGGGAAAAAATCTTTATAGAATAAAAAAATTCTGAAATAAAGGAGACTTTAACAAATGTATATTTTTTTCAGAAAAACGATGCTTTCTACCACACAATGGCCAGTATAAAAAAAGTTGGTTCAATAATGAAGGAAAGAGCATGTTGACCTCCAATATGGCGGCCAACGGGAAATAACTAAATAGCTAATTTGGGTCTACTGAGAACTATCTCTACAACCGTTGCCTAAGTAAGAGTATTATATACAAGTAACATCTTGATAAAAACTTGCCTGACTAATTATATAAGCATTTAATATCTCTAGAACATATAAGCATGATAAGAAATAAATGTTTCCGTCAAACTGTGTGTGTGTGTGTGGGGGGGGGGGAGGGGGTGTTTCGTAATATTTCATTACTTTATTAAAAATATTTTTAAGACTTTATACAAAACATCTTTTTTTTATCTTAAAGGTCATATGAAACGGTTCAAAACAGTAGGATTTTACTTTTTAAACATAAAGACTTGTATGAAAGAATGTCAAATTACGTTTAGTATAATTTTTTTTGCCTTCGCTTAACTGAAAAATGGAGGCCTAAATTTGTCCACTGAATAAATTTGTTACCCGCTTACCGTTCTTGATTTTGTGTTTTTATGACGTCACAAAGACCCTTGATGTAAATAACGCATTAGATATAGTGTAATTTTACCGTATTTTATTGACTTAATTTTAGTCATTTTTGGGGGATGTAAATGTAATTATTTTTTTAGATGAGCTATCTGATTCTAAAGTACAATTTACTCTATTTAAACTAATCGTTAATTAGGCCAACAACTGAAAACGAGAGCTTTTCATCGTAGGATGATCCTGATGAATATTCCGTTGAAATCAAGATTTTTCTCCTCCAGCTATGATTACTTATTTTAAATTAGTACTTTAGAAACAAAAATCTTCTTATTTCTAAATGATTCATGATGTTTTTTTCATTCCTAGTGAAAGTGTATAATTAACAACAAAAAACAGCGTAATTAATTAACATTGACCTGAAGCTTCTTACAATAAAAATTTTAATGGGCATGCAAAATCTGTAAAATAAAGTTGTGTCATATATTGAGAGGGAAAAATATCCAGCTCAAGGGTAACCCTTATTCCCAAATAAACATGGGGATATTGAAGTTCATGATGAACATGGATCAATGAAAAGTCGGCGTATTTGAATGCACGCTTTCTGCAATCTGAAACACGAGGACTAATGTAAAACGATATAGAAATAATGGTTTATGACGACATCATCGTAATTTTGCTGTCACAAGGAACATGATTTTTAAAAAAATGGCGCAAAATTACCGGCATCACGATCGCGAGTATGTACACGTACATCTATACATGTACATGTATATACATGCACTGTAATGTTACGGTACTGATACCTCTAACAGTTTGACTGAGCAATTGCAGTTTGAAAATACTCATACAGCTCGTGCATAAATTGATCAGTTAAAAAAATCCATACCCCCCATTATTTGCGCGATTGAACCTGAACAATTTTTAAAATTAATATTTTTACAGTTAAACATTTTTTTTTATATCAGACTATATACTCTGTGTTGAAATAATCTGATACAAATTTAAACAATTCGGTCTGTAAATATATTCACACAGAAAAGTAGAATTGCATAGATAGAATTGTGTTTGATGTCTGACTTTTTAAAAATTATTACGGTATTAAATATAGTTACAGTGTTATGTGTATACATGTACTGACTTTTTCGTAAGAAAAATATACGGGAAGAGAGAGAGAGAGAGAGTCATCGAGACAGGGAATTAAAGCCAAAGAGAGAAAAGGGAAAGCGATTGAGAGAGAGGGAGAAAGCGATAGAATCATTTCATTTCCAACGAATAAATGAAATAATTTATTTTCAGGTTTATTTTCACACACCGCGGTCAATCGAATTCAGCTTTACTTATAAATTTTGATCAGAAAACAAATCATCAATATTCTTGTGTTAGAAATTTATTCAATTGTAAATTATTTGACAGCGTCTATATTCACTTACTCTAGTACAGACTTCCTCTCTCTGTTTTCTCTCCCTCTCTCTCTCTCGATGGAAGTGTCGAAGGACGACAATAAATTACAAAGATAAAACATGCTAAAATCTTGCAAATATGCAATAGTATGTTAAAAGACAAATACTATCTTGTTTGAACATCGTATATTTATGCGATATTTTAGCTAAGATGATGATATTTCTTAAAAATTACGCTGCAAAAGACATGATCGGTTGTATAAATGTTAGTACTGAATGTAGCGAGTGGGTCTTACTCACGTCATAAGCAAAGGGAAATAAGCCGCGCTAGTTGAAGTTCATTTTCGCAGTCAAGTAATTTTGATCGACTCTGCTGCCGCTAACTTGCCTAAAAAATCCAAAATGTAATTTCAGGCTTATTAAAGTTGCTCAGATGAACTCATTTCCGTATACAACCCAAAATGCTCAGGGCATTGTTTCATATGACCTTTAACTTCTCTGCGACTCATCAAAGGACCGGAAACTCATTGAAAAATGAACATTAAGGTAAAGATATTTATTGTAACTCAAAGAACGGGAATATAAGTGGAATGCACAAGCATAATGATAACACTTGAAAGAGGTTAATATGACATGATATTGAAAATTCTTTAAATAATTTTAAAGTAAGATGAATTAAGTAGTACGGAAAACAAATTATTGTGATTCATTTGTACTGGAAAGCTGTGGCTTGCAAAGGTTATATGAATTAATTGCAAATGCATAGGAGATCAGAAATGCCGAAAGATAGCCGAAAATATGATTGCTACTCATAACAATTGTTGTTTAACGTCCCTTCCAGAGAATTTTTCACTCATATGGCGGTGGAGGGCTGCGAATTTATATATTTACTCGGCACTTAGGGCCATTGAGCAGTGAGGGTTCTTTTTCGTGCAAACACCTACTACGACACGGGACTTCGGTTAATGCGGTTTCATCCAAAGAACCGGTCCCGATGTCCCACAGTGGATTCGAACCCGCGACGTAAGGATCAGCTCTAAGCTGTAAGGCATACATAACAACGTTAACAAGGGGAAAAGGGGTCAACCCCCCCCCCCTCTCAAAAATGACAAGCCAAAAAAGAAAGAGATAACAGTCAAAACTCGAAAATTTTCTCCCCGACTGAAAAGGGAGATGTGGAATATTAGTTTACTTTCTATGCTTCATATATTTAATTGCTTTTATTTTTACGAATGTTTTAGAAGTTTAATGGAGATACGAAACAAAATAGGAATAAAAGCATTGACCGTAAAATAAGAGAGTAAGAACCTTTTTAAAATAATTTTTCACTTAAATCTTTTTACAATTGCAAACTGAAATTCTTAATTTGCAATAAAATCTAAAACCAAAGTCTTAGTTACAAATTTTATATACTGTTAAAAGAAACATCTACGACTTTGATTGTATGAAAAGTCATTATTCTTTCCGCCTAAAACGTACTCCCTTCTATATTTCAAACTATTTGCCATTGTCTTTGCCAAGTTGTATAAAAAATGGGATATTTTTTTAACCTTACGGCTAAGCTTTAAAGACAGAAATGACAGTACACATTAAATACAGTTGTACAATTGAACGTCTGTATCTTGAACACTGTTATTCGAACTGCTAAATGTCAAAATGGAATATCTTTTCATTTACTTTTATAGTTATTTTAACTTGTTATCCATAGTATATTCCCATTTCCTTCTTCGGTCACAAGAAGTTAACTTACAAAATAGAAAAGCTTGAAGATTTTTTTTTTGCTAATATGCTTCAAATTGAGACCACCTTCACGGTAACTCAGTCGGAAGGTCGTGATTTCGAATCTTGGCCGCCAATGATGTAAGTTGATGGAAAAAAGGTAACATCTGTTCCTTCGCCTTGCACTCGGCAATTTGAATTGAAAGTTGTGGGTCTTTCGAATAAGACCTTAAAAACCGAGGTCTCGTGTCACGGCAGGCGTTGGGACGATAAGGATCCCTCAATACTCAATGACCCTGAGTGCCGAGTAAAGGTTTAAATTTGACGCCTTTTTGTTGAATGTCTCTATCTGAGTGAAAAATTCTCGAATGGGACGTAAAACAAATTCAATCATTCAATCAAATTGGGGCCTTAACTGGGTACTCCGCGCCATTGAGCAGTGGGACATGTTTATCATGCTAACGCTTACAGTGACACGGGACATATGATATTCATTTCAAATGCGGGCTGCTTGGCGGCGGAACATTTACTCTCTATTTATAGCCTCTCAAATTTGACGCGAAGCCTGGAAGGAGATTCGAACCAGTAACTCCCGATACCAAAGCGAGCGTCTTACGACTTGGCTACCGCGACCGTATCGTCTTACGACAATTTTTTCTAAAAAAAAGAAAATTTGGTCTTAACACTATTTAAATAGTCTAATGACTATTTAAATAGTCATAACACCAAATTTTCTATTTCAATAAAAATGTGTGGGAAGACGGTATGAAAGAAAATTGAAAAATTATCTTTTACTTATTCAATACAAGAAGTTTGTGAGCAAATGTTCGCTCTGATGTGAATATACACTCTGACGTGAATATACACTCTGACGTGAATATACACTCTGGCGTGAATATACACTCTGACGTGAGTATACACAAGTCCAGTTGCGGACAGACACAGGGATGAACAGGAAGTTAACATCACATTCGTACAAAACTGAATCCCATCATATGGAATGCCTCGACAAAGAGTATGAAAACATTTCATGCATTTGCAATGAGTAGTAACTGAGAAAACTGCCACGAAAGCATGGTAAGCATGTTAAGCATGGTACAGAAAGACTCAAGGATAAAGAGGAAGTTGAAATCGGATTCATACAAAAATAAATCCCATCATATGGCATGCCTAATCAAAGAGTGTGCTAAAATTTCAAGCATCTGCGATAAGTAGTTGCTGAGAAAACTGCGACGAAAATTTATTATGTATGGTACGGAGAGAAGCACGGATAAACAGGAAGTTGACATCAGATTCGCACAAAAATAAAGCCCACTATATGGTATGCTTAAACAAAGAGTGTGCTAAAATTTCAAGCATATACGATGAGTAGTTGCTAAGAAAACTGCGACAAAAAATTTGTTACGGACAGACGAAAAGACAGATGAACACACAGACAGACACACAAAGGGAAAAAACAGTATAACCCCCCTCCTTCAGAGCGGGGGTATAATAAGTATAAATCATATGAGTTAAAAAAAATGCAGAAATGCAGTTTCAACATACGTTAATTCTTGTAAGAATTCTTTTTTAAATTGTTAGATTTACGTTACCTGCCTGAACCATTGCCAGCAAGACCACGATTATCACCAAAATAAGTAGGAATGCCAACAACTTCATAGTCATACTGTTCTCTGCTTACATAGAGTCAACATTAGATTTAGTGCCGCGATCCCTTATATATATATATACTGTTTACCTGATGCATGAAAAGTGCAACCTCATTTTGAATTAGTTGTAAATGTTTGTGATTACATAAGTTTTCTTGGTTTGCACTCAAAGGTTGGGATAGAACAAGAAATAATAGAGAAATCAGAAAGGATTAAATATTTTACGAACATGTTTCATGCATAATTTTCAAGAGTTTTTCCGGGCATTTTTATGAAATAAAATTATGTAATGAAATATTAAACACATTTTCATAGTTTTTAAGGGATAGAGGTGGCACGATAGAGAAATATTTTCTATGTTTATTTGTGAAATTTTAGATTTCTCATAGAATAAAGGAAATATTTGTATTAGCTTCCATTTAAATTGGAAATAAGTAAGTTTAGATATTGTCAGAATATTATACAAATATAGCCTTATGATGAGGTAAATCCCTGGATATATAGACGTTAGAGAAAACATATCAACCGAGCACTAAGTGTGAGGACAATATCTTTTCTATAAAGTCTAGGATTCTGCCGAATCAAAGGGCTATACTTGTTTTATTATTTTTTATATCGATTAATGAGAAATGTCTTAAAACCAGATTTTCTAAAAAATTTTCATATAAGGCATTGCTTTGTCATACGCATTATGACGTCCCAACTACAATTAGCAGCTGAAGTATCTGTTGTTAGAAACATCGAGTTAATAATGACTATTCTGACGACATCACTATTGTTGCTTCACAGTAGAACGAATTTTTGAACGCCATACCTATAAGCCTTTTGTAAAGTTTAAAATAGAAACACCCAGTCTATGAAATATTTTCGACTTAATCATGTGATCTTGTCCGAGCCAATCAGATCCATTTGAACGATAGGGAAAATAATAAATATACTTATACCGGTACTTGATTAGAAAGAGTAAAAAAGTGTAAATATTTTGTACAAGTTTAATTATGGTTTGTTTACCTGGAACAACATATAATCATACCGTCACGGTAACTCAGTAGGTAGGGCGCTCGCTCCGTGATCGGAAGGTCGTGTGTTCGGATCACTGCCGCGACTGTCGATAAAAAATAGGTAGCAGCTGTTCCTTCGCCAAGCGCTCCGCACTTTGGAGTGAAAGTTTCGGGTCTTTCAGATTCGACCTTAAAAACCGAGGCACCGAGTTGGCACGATTAAGAACCCTTACTACTCAATGGCCCTGAGTGGCGAGTAAATGTCTTAATTTGAAGCCCTTCACCTGTATATTGTGACCATACATAGCCGACATTTTTCGTGAATTGCGTGAAGGTGCGGAGTGCCAACTCAGACAACTAGCTGGAATGTTTACACTTTAGCTTGCCATGCAACTTTCAGAATTTGAAATTAAACAAGAAGGATAAAAAATTCAATTTACCTTCATTCTGAATTCCTTCAATTGTTTGGATTCCAATGAAAATTTTTACATGGAGTAGCCAAGACTTTAGGGCATGAGCCTTTTGAGTATTTTGTTATTCATAGAATGGCCAACATTTATGCAGAAAAATTAACGTGATTCAAAAAATTTAGGGTTATACTAACTTATTTATTTCTGTGAAAGAGTGTATTTTATCAGGCACCGGAATTTAAAAGATTATGCTGTGTACGTTTTTTCAGCTTTGTCATATTACGATGTCTGGCGCTATGTTTGGATTTTTTGGTGAACAATGAAATAAAATAACAAGCTGGTTTTTATTAAATTAATAGATCGCATCAGAATGTGTACAGGAGTGCAAAAGTCTCTGTTATGATACTCGATTATATTATCTGGGTTATAAAATTTAATAATTCCCCTAAGAAACCGTTACACTATGGAGGAAGTCTGCTGTATGAAGAAAGCAAGTACAAGAACGGAAGTCTCTGTGATCTTATTACCGAATTTTAATATATTTAAATTCTTTTGAAATACTTTACAAGTATCAAAGATGATGCATTAAATTTATAGATTGATTGTATGTTCTTTTAGGTCCCGTTCGACAATTTTTTACTCATATAGAAACGTCATCATATACCTTTGAAGGACTTCAAATTTAGACCTTTACTTGGCACTCAGGGCTATTGAGCAGTGAGGGATCTTTATTGTGCTAACACGGGGCCTCTGTTTTTAAGGTATCATCCGAAAGACCCGCAACTTTCATTTCAAAGTGCCTAGCGCTTAGTGAAGGAGCAGTTGTTACTTATATTTAATCGTCCTAGGTCATTCACGGCCGAGATGTTTACCCACGACATTTCGATCAGGTAGCGAGCGCTTTACCAACTGAGCTTACCGTGACGGTGAACTGTAAATAATATGTTTTATATTTTAACAAATGGTAATAGTCAAAAGGAACTACCTGTACAAAGTATTCATAAAACATATTCTGTGAATTATCAAGCATGGATTTATTTGCCCTGTATGTAGTTTATTTTCATTGCGACAACAAAGCATTATGAACTCGAGGTAATTTTCCAAGAAAAGCGGGTTTCACAATCAAATAAATACTTTTGGTAGGTGTTCTCACTTGGTGTGAAAAACAAAATCGCACTATCGAAGGGAAAGAATGCCTTATATTGTCCCTAAATCAGGATATGTTGAGTAGTGCCGAGGATATACACTAACACTGTTTTCATCTTTCTATATCGACCGTTCACGGTACGGTAGAGCGCTCGCTCCGTGATCAGGAGGTCGTGAGTTCGAATCACGGCCCGACTGACCTAAGTCGATAAAAAATGGGTAGCAACTGTTCCTTCGCCATGCGCTCAGCACTTAGAAGTGAAAGTTGCGGGTCCTTCGGATGATACCTTAAAAACCGAGGTCCCGTGTCACGGTAGGCGTTGGCACGATAAAGAACCCTCACTGCTTAATGACCCTGAGTGCCGAGTAAAGGTCAAAATTTGAAGCCCTTCACCGGTATATGGTGACGTCTCTATATGAGTGAAAAAATCTCGAATGGAACGTAAAACAACATACAATAAATCAATCAATCATCTTTCTATAGGTGGTATGAAGTGTCCCCTGTAACATCATATTAACTTTCATTTCTTGAGAACAAGAGCATTTGATTTCTACTAGTCCTTTACCACAATACTTACTCATTAATCCATCTAGAGTTGTAAGGAAGTACGGTTTTCGCTGAAACTGTAAAATCCGATGGTATCCGCTCTCCCCGTTCTCTCGTTTGTTTTTTTCTCAATCTTCGAAGTACAACTGTCTAGCCACAGTTTCAATCTCTCTTCCATATGCCATTGCAGGAACGTTTGATACAGCACTCCCAAGTTGCATTATAACTCGTACAATATAATTTCGTTGGATTTTGATCCTCGATAATGCAACACTTGAAAATAAAACGGACGCAGTTTTACGCCCATGTCTGTGTCTCTTCAATTCCTCGCATAATAAACAGATTCACTGATCCTCGATCAAATCTTCAATTGTTAAGATCGCTTTGGATCAAATACAGACTGTAAATATGAACTCACCGAAATATTATTATTTGCCTCTTTCATAAGTTCATGTAATCCTGGAATATCATTTGTGTCTTCAAAATAAGACGGCGGGTCAAGTGTCTCTATTAAAAGTGAATAAGAGTCCTTGCTCAAATCAAATATCTTTGCAACAGTTTCCCAGGTCTTCCCCATTACCTCGGGACATTTTGAAGACTTGTACAAGGGTTGTAAACTGCATGACAATGGTCATAATTATTATTTATTTTCGGGTGTCGAGTAAGAGTTGTGAATCAGTACATTCTGAATTTTATCAGGTCGTGATGCAGAACATAAACATCAGTTCTGACTAGTGTGTGTTTGTCTTTTTGTCTTTCAATAAATAAACAAAAAAACATGCCGAAAGAGGTCTGAGGTTCTAGATTTTTTTGGAATCTTTTGAAAAAGGAGTGCTGTGCAGTGCTTGCATGAATCAGCATTTCTGTATTCAGAAAAAAGAAGTTGATGTTTAAGATTAAATGAAAATATTCAGAATTCAATCTTCTTTGGTGTGGTATTAGTGATCTATATATTTCAAAATATAAAAGATTCTTGTGCAATACAAGTGCACCCACCTTCTCTGACAAGAATTCGCTTGTTGTCTGTTTTCTGGAATTTTCTGACGCATGGCAAAGTGGTGAAGTTTGACATTGTCAAAATGATAGTTTGTATACAGTTTATAAACATTGTCCTGTTTGTATAATTTTAAACGTCTCCAATCTCAATGTCAGGTAATGTTTTAAAGTCTGCGAAGCATTCGTCAGCAGCAATATGCTTGATTCCAGGTATATTGAACGCTGTTTTATTCACAGCAAGTTTTAGGAATAAAAACTAAACTTTCCCTGAAGTTGGAGTAGACCTAAGATCATTTTTGAAAAACTCAGTGATGTGTTCTATAGGATTCAACATTCATTTACTTTGAAACCAGTGATGTTTCCTGTTGTTTCTCTGATACCATTTACTATGGATCAAGCCATAAAATTAAAGCTTTGCAACTGAGATGTGCAATAACAGTAAAACTTCAAGAATAAGCATCCTGCCGAAATCACTAGGTCCTCGGGTGAGGGAAAAAGGGAGCAAAAAAAGGCCAAGAGACTTTCTCCAGTACCATTCCAGATGGATTTCAAGAAAACCAGATTGGGTAGAATTTTAAAAACCCTAGCAGGTACCAGAAGTGACCATATTCAACTCAACAACAAAAATAGTTTAATCGAGAATTTTGATTTGTTATACAAATATTTGTGATTGATTGTATGTTGTTTTACGTTCCATATGAGAATTTTTCACTCAAATAGAGACGTCACCATATACCGGTAAAGGGCTTCACATTCTAACCTTTACTCGGCACTCAGGGCCATTGAGCAGTGAGGATCTTTATCGTGCCAACGCCTGCCGTGACACGGGGTCTCGGTTTTTAAGGTCTTACCCCAGGGACCCGCAACTTTCACTTCAAATTGCCGAGCGCAAGGCGAAGGAACAGTTGGTACCCATTTTTTA